ATTAAAATTCTGCTTTCATGGATGGATTTTAAATCACTTCACAGTGTTTGGCAAGTAAGTGGCCTTGTGAAGGAGGCAACAGCCCTTTTCTGTCCCTGGGGAAGAGACCCACAGAGAAGCAGTCCTGGTTAAAGCAAAGGGAAGGAATCACAGCACATTTGGTCTTGTTTCAGCCTTTGGAGCCTGTCTGAAGGATAATGAACCTTCAGGATGTCCCTAGTGAGCTAAAATGTTCTCTACTGAGGAACTTCAGCAGTGGGCAAGAATTTGTCCTCAGACCCCATGGGGACATGAGACTGGTGACACATGGGTGAGCTGGGAATGGCATCCTTTACCTGGAGTTTGTTCACCATTTCTTCAAACATCTTCTTGGCTTCAGGGCTGTGGGGCTCCTTGAAGTAGTCCACAATGCCCACCTGGACGACAATGGACTTCAGGTTCCGGCACACACCTGGGAGCAGAGATACTGCCTGGCTTCTCCATAGCTGGTGGGGAAATAGCCTCCCCAAAGCCAGGATGGACCCTAAAATCTACCCAATGCTCCTCAAAGTGTTATGCATTTGGGCAAACCTCACCCTGAAGATGAAGAATACCCACTGTTGGTGACCAAGACCTCTGTAGAGAGGATGGTGGTCTATGAGATGTTTCCCAGTTCATAGAATCATAGAATGGTTTAGGTTGAAAGGGACCTTAAAGTTCCAACCCTCCTGCCATGGGCAGGGACACCTTCCACTCGACCAGGTTGCTCAAAGCCCCATCCAACCTGGCCTTGAACACTTCCAGGGATGGGGCCTCCACAACTTGCCTGGGCAAATTTTTCCAGTTGTCACATCCCAGTTCAGCAGCCCTACCTCTTTCTTGGGAAACCCTTACTCTTCTACCCAGACAGGTGGCTTCCCAGCAAGTCACATGTGCCATGACCACCAGGAACGGCACCTCAAGCAGACCCTCCTGCCGGCTGCAGACCTCTTTCCCCCTGGAGCTCCTGTCCTGGCAAATGGCTTCAGTAAATAGTGTGACTCCAAACTCAGATACACAAGGGTGAACATCAGGTGTGCCACAGACATTGAGGCTTCATTTACACTGAGGGGAGCATGGAGGGAGTGTCTCCATCCTCCTTATTGCCCAAGGCAAGATGCACTCTTGTGAACCTATCCGTGGCAGGGCACTGTTGGATCCCCTCTTAGAAATCTTCCACCACAGACTTCCCAGCACCTTCAAGTATTGGCAGTGGGTTCCTGTGGGTGGAGCTGGAAGGTAGGGTCTGGTTCGTGGATCTGGATATCTGGTGGCCTTTTGGTCAATGTATGGTGCTATGCACTCCCCCCGACATTGCTACTCACTGTTGAAGTGAAGCAGGGCTTTGGGGGTGACCGGTGTGGAGGTCAGCACTAGCATCTCCAGCCCCTTCAGCCCCTCTCGACACATCTCTGCTGCAACTTCCTGGTTGATCTCTGCCACGTGATCCAGCTCCAGGACTTGAAGCCGCATGCAATTTCGGGCTGGAAGGACAGAGCACCTGCTTTCAGCACCCCATGGGGAAGGGATGAGGACAGCTGATGGGAACAGAGTGGTAGGAGGGATGGGTGGCCTACCTAAGGGTGCTGCCTACCTAAGGATGCCAGTCCCTGGACGCCGCAGCCTGCCCCTCCAATGCCCAGTGCCCGCAGGTGTGGCCAGCACCGGCCAATCATCTGAAGGCAGCGGTTGCTGAAACGTGTCGGCTGCTGGCTGGGGAGATGAAGAAGAAAGAGGTGGGGAGGGCTGGCAGAAAAGCTTGCCCCCCCACACACTTTATGAGCGCTCTTGCAGGTGGTGTGGGATTGGGACCTCTCCCACTCCACCAACTTAGATGTCGCCACACTGTAAGGAGGTGTCTTCAGAGCAGATGTCTCCATCTGAGCAACCACCCTGGGCTGTGTTGCAACCAGGACAGGGCAGGTCCATGCACTCAGTGGAGTCTCTCTGCCCCAGACTCTTCACCTTTGGAGATCTCAATCAGGCCCTGAATTCTGTTCCTTGCAGTGATCAAACCAGTAGCAAGAGCCTGGACCCCTAGCTCAGGTGGAGAAGCCTACGTGCCATGAGGTGTTTCTCCCTGGGAGAGGGCTTGACATCCATCTTCTCCTGCTAAAAGACATCCCCCTCTGTACACCTCAATCCAGGCTGACAGGGGACATGACATTGCAACAAACCTCCCAGGACAAGAAGAAATGCCCAGAAGGAAGCCCCATGGCACAGAGGTGAGGAGCCAAGTGACCTGCTCCATGAGCCATGAACTCCTGAGCACCCAGACGCTGTGGGGCAGAGATCCACCAGCATCTTCATGCCTCAAAATGCTTTTCCAAAGTGAGAGCAACTGCAGTCGTCTCCCTAAGCAGTGACTTGACACCCTTTTAAAAACATCTACACCCTTCAGGGCTGCTGTTATATGAGCAGTGAGGAACTCAGACAAGTGTTTGATGTTCAGCATCACCTACTAGACCCACCACAGCTCCCCTGTCCTCTCCAGTGTTAGCAGTCTCCATGGAAACATTCCTGGCTCAGCAGGGGGGTGCCTACACCCAACAGCTTCCAGCCTTTGCAGGATGGGGCCAAGCTCCCAGTCCCCCACACTGGCCTCTAGGATTGCTGCTCATCCCATGAAGACCCTCCTCCAAGCAAATCTGGATCTGGCACCCAATTTTTTTCCAGCCCAGTGGTGCCCCTCACACTCAGCCTGGCCTCCTCCTAGCATGATTCTTACCATGGATGCAGAGGTGCGACCTGGAGGGAGATGATGTCCCTGCAACCTGCTCCAAGGGCCCAGATGACTTCATGACCCACGGGGTCCGTAGAGCTCCTGGAACAACACAGAGGACACGTGGTGGCCCCCACTGGCAGGGATGCTGCTCCCTGGGGGGGTGTCTGCAGCCTCCATGCTGCTACATGTCTCTGCACCTGGAGGTACAAATCTGGTCATTATTTATAACCCATGATGTGCCCATGAACCAGACAGTCCCAACACCAACCCATGCAGGAAGGCTGAAGGCATTTCTATCTGCAATTGTGCCTACAGATGTGCAATGTCAATAAAAATGGAAGGTGAGGCTGAAGGTGAGACTGAAGATGAGGTATGGCTGAAGGTAAAGGCTGAAGGTGAGGTTGATGGTTGAAGGTGAGGTTGAAGGTGAAGACAGAAGTCTTCCAGATGCAAAGGTGGCAAGTGACTGAACAGAGACTGCCAGACTGTGTACCCTTGCAGAGCAAATATAACGTCCCTGCTGATTCCATTGGGTTGGTTTCACTTGCCACCTGCCCAGCCTGGACAGGGAAGGTGCCAGGAGGTGGTAAGGATGTTTCAGCTGATGGGAGGTAACTTCCATCCAAGGGCAGTGACTGCTCGATGGCCTCTGTACCAGCTCTGTGGTTGTGCCACCACATCTGTAGGGTGGGTGTTGGCCAAATGTCACTGCAGAGGTTTGCTGTGGGCTCCTCCTTGGGGTTTTTGGAGGTATCAAAACAGACGTCGTCATGGGATGCTGCTGGATTTGTACAGGGACATAGTGGAGGTATAGGTTTATCAGGAGTCATGGCACTGGCCTGGCAGAGCCATGCTGCCTGCCCACCTGGCATTTGTGCCACTGGCTCAGAAAAACTTTCTCTGATGTTGTCTGCACTGAGTCAATGGAGGAGAGATGTCAGAGAGCATTGTCCTAATGCTACCAGCCCAGATAGAGGTCCCTGGCTGCTTCGTCTCACTGGGCTCTCTCACGAAGACTGAGGCCGCACTTCCTAACTCTAAATGACCTACTTCAAAAATTTCAGGGAAGCCTAAAAATAAGTGATGGGTGTTATCTTGAGCATTTCACACATCTCCACTGAAGATATCTGCCAAGAGGCCCTTGCGAGTGCAGCAGGTTAATTAGAGCATGAGTCAGAGTCACAGGTTAGCAATGTGCCAGGGGTGCTTGGGCTTGCTCTAACGCCCTTGGAAGGGCTGATGAAGGAGTCTTTGGGTTAAAGCTGGTGGTGCTGGGCTGGCTCGCAGCATGGGGGCCCCGGATCAAAGCCACATCAGAGCTCACTTGGTCCAAAACAGAGGAGCCGGCTGGGTGCGCTTTCCCACCTGAAGGACTCTCAATCCTGGGCTGGATGAGGACACTCATTGGATGCAGGTGAAATAGATACCAAAGGTGAAGCAGTCATTTGCAGGGTGCAGCAGAACAAGTGTCATCCTGCTTGAGTGTGTAGGAAAGGTAAATCATGTCTCCATGGGAGGAGAGCCTCTTCAGAAGGTGGCCAAGACCAAGGAGCACTCAGTGATCTCCAGGACCTGTGACACCTCCTCCAGGATCGACACCATTATGGGCCTTGTGTTCTTGCTCTTGAGCAAGGTCTCCAAGTTGGGTCTTACCAATCCCATGTCAGACCCATTCCTTCCTCCCAGGACGGAGGGACCCCAAGGTCTCTTCTCCCTGTTAGAAGCCTTAGTCAGCGGGTGACAGTCAGGTGGGACCCCACTGGGCCCTGGTGTTGGTGCACCTCTTCTTCACCCTTCTCTAGCATAAAGCAGAGTCCCCATACCAAGACCCTGGTCACGCCTCTAGCTGGGGTGAGATTGGCAACAGGACGGTGGGAATGGAGCTGGAAGGGAAACATCTGCATAGGAACATGCCAGAAGAGGATGAGCGTTGCATGGAGAGCTTGCACTGGGGACACTGGACACTAGGGCTGCCCCTGGTCTAGGGACATAGAAAGGTGGGTCCTTTGCACCTAACCACATGGGCTGCATTCTGACAGGGAATGGGGATGGGCATCAGAAGAGTCCCAGCACATCCCATGAATGTTCCCAGCCTTCTCCCAGCCAGGGAACCACATGGTCCCCATGGACGAGGGGTGATGCTGGTGGCCATCCTTACCGGTATGTGACAGCCTGCAGGGCCCGGCAGTGGCAGCTGGCCAGCCAGAGTGAGCGGTCCGTCAGCACGTTGGGGCAGTGCGAGATGCGGAGGATGAGCAGGTTGCTGCCCGTTGCCTGCAGCAGGGACTCCAGCCCGGCTTCCAGACAGCCCCTGCCGGGGATGGAGGCAGGATCAGGCACAGGCACTGGCACTCACAGTCCTCATGTCCACCCCAGGGCCACCCCAGAATGGTGATGTGTCCCATGGGGGTCTGTGGCTCCAGGACACCCAAAATCCACAGCAAGAGCCAAGCTGTGATGAACGGCCATCACTGGATATGGGACACTGGTGCTCAAAGAGCATCATCCCTGAGGACCAGCGGCTCTGGCTGTGGGAGGAGGATGCCCGGGATGCATGGACTCACCGCGTGCTCTTCATGTAGTCCTCCTTGCTCTCCTTCTTCCCCCGCTGGCGTGGCTTGAGGTTTTGGAGGGTGAGGGAGTGCATCTGGGTGCACCACTGAGACAGCATGGCCAGGAACTGGAGGAACAGGGGCGGCTGTCACTGAGGGGGACACCCTCGGCATGCCCCACGCCACCCATCCTTGGCTGCTGTGGGCAGACCTGTGTGCACACATGCACGCACACAGAGGCATTCCTACATGCGCACACACATGCTGTAAATATGTGAAAATACACATACGAGGTCATGCAAGAGTGTGTGCAACAAAATCATGGGTGTGAGCACAAAAGCACATGAAAATGCCTCCGCGTGTGAGCTCACGCCCACAAGCATGCACATGTGAACGTGAAACACATCCAGCCACTGCTGCAAGCACACAGCTGTGCGCACCCACGTTCCCATTGCCATAGCAGCGTGACATTCAACACAAGCGAGATGGATGAAAGGTCTTGCCCGAGGCAGTGCCATCCCCATCCCCGGTACCTTGGAGGACACCCTGGCATTCTCCAGCAGCACCCGCGTCCACACGGCTGGGTGCCGGGCCACGAACTTCCAGTCCTTGCACACCTCGGCCGCCCGCAGCAGGGTCTTGGTGTCCAGGTAGGTGAAGATGCAGAAAAGAGCCGCCCGCATCTTGAGAATCTCGGGGCTGATCACCTCGCTGGAGTGGCCTGGGCTGCCCCTCTCCAGCCGGCCCACCTTACCCCCAGCCCCCCCGGCCCTGGCTGTGGGACACCCACCGTCAGTTGCCACCGGCGGCCGGGAAGGGCAGCAGGG